AGCTTTTGAATTCCTCAAGGATATAGTTATATAAAACATATAACATATGTAAGATAATAACTAATCACTGCTCATTTTATAAATGTGTAAAGTTTTTAGAAATGTATCCACTTTTAAAGACAAGGGAATACCTATCTCATGTACACTAACGTGGCTGCCTATTTTTTTCTTTACACAAAGTCAGTTTAGGGAAATGTAAAAAAAGATCTATAGGGAGGCAGCATTCTGAAGTTCAAAAACTGAAGTATGAAGCTTGCCTCTAGGTTGGAGGGTCTGCTTGGCCACTAATTACCTATACAGTTTTGAGCAGATACATAAGCTATATAGTTTCACTGCTTTCTTTCTTCACTGAAAGATTCGATACCCTTAAAAAGGAACTTTTAAAACTATAATTCTGTGATTCTACTTGACAAGGAAACAAGTTCTTTAAAAAGCAAGAATGCTGTTTCTGTTCAGGTAGATTATTTTCTCATGGTTTTCCTGAAAATATCTGTCCCCCTTCTTTTCCACCTCTTTCTCCCATCTGTAACTGCAGCTTTGTGTGTGTGACTGGCCATGCCAAATTTTCTCTGCAAGAATCCAGAGATTATGTGTTGTGTTCAGAATTGCTGCAGCTCAAACAGCTTTCATGCATTTCGCTATTTCCCCAGATGCAAAGCTGATGAATCGTTGCAATCGGTAAATAGCATACGGGTTTCTGACAACTGTGGGTCTTAGAGGACCTTCAAGAATGTTAGAAAAGACAATTCAGAGGACAGTCTGCTTTCTTTACCCCTGAAAAGGGAAGGGCAATTTTCTTCTCTAACTACACCTTCTGCTTCATAAATTTGTCAAAAGTAGAAAGAAGATACAAATGCCGCCTGGAGTACAATCGGGAGGTTAATGTTCTGATGAGACAAAATTATGGTAAATTATTCCCTTGAGTTGATTTTGTGGCGTGTGTAACAGGGTGAGGGACGGAAATACAAGCTGGTGTTGATGTTTCAATGTGCTGGACGGGCATGTAAACGCGGGTCAGTTGCTAGGAGACCCGGAGCTCGCAGATAATGCCCCCTCGCCACGAGACAGGGATGTTTTTACACGTATCTCAAAAACCTTGTCTTTTGCAGCCAAAGATGAGATTAAACATGTAGTTTGTCAGAGTTCAGGTGGACCAGGGCTTGATTATTGCTTGTGTCAATCCAGCCATTCTGATATCCACCCAGCCAGGGAGCCGCTGAAAGAGAGAACGGTATAGCATCGTGCCAGTTCACCGAGATTCCCTGGAAGCACTCTGGGTAATTAGCTGCAAATTCAGTTTAAATACTTCTACATGAAAGGCAGCTGGCTTGTTCGCCTATATGGGTTCCAAGAAGTAGGCAATATCAGCTAACTCATCACTTCAGCATTCTGAAGAGAGGAATGCCAGGCTAGAAAGTCCCAGGCTAGAGTCCCAAGCGATGCTGTTGCTTGAATAGGACTTTGGACCAGTTGTTTATAAAGTAGCATTTCTGGCGTTTGAGGGGATTGTTTAACAGATCTTATGCTAAACACACACACTCGCGGTGTGTAGCGACGACCACCAACATAAATGCACAGAACTCAGAGCTGGCAGCGTGTTAGGAATTCTTCCAGCGCCCCCAACTGGCTTCCGACAGAACCAGAGCCAGTCGGAGGACCAGAGCAGCCTCCGAAGTGGTGTCTTCAGGAAAGTCTTTCAAAAAATCAGGGCAAAGTCTTCTGCCCTGTGAAGCTTTGCCAAGGTCCAGGACATTGCATTCATTATGGAGAAAAAAATCCCTAAAAGCCGAGGAGTAGGTCTCTCAGGCCTCACTTTACTTAGAAGAAACTGAGTCACTGAAAGGTGTTTTGAATACCTAATTATTACTACCGCTGGGAACTTGAGCCAAGTCTCAAAGGAGGATGTTCTTTTATAATAACACCACCTAGTCTTTCTCAGGAGAGTTGTGATATTTTGTTAGGCCACTGATGGGAAGGAGAATAACATCCTGTGAGTTTCCTGTAATGCTTTGCTTTACACTGTACAGAGCATGTTTATATACATTGTTTCATTTGAGCCTTAGGACCCTGGGAATTATTCTTATAAAGTGAATGTGCCTAGTACCCAGAATTGATCTATACTGTCATAGAAGCACAGTTCTAATTGTACTAGTTGGTTAGCTCTTTATGATAATGCTGTCGCCATGCCTCCAAATCAAGATGGCCCCTGGGAATGGATAATTAAAACCCTAGTGTGGTTTGAAACTTTTTGAATGTGTTTGCTTCACCTTTTGTGTGTTTAATATTGAATATCCACATGTAAAATATGTACTTTATTGCTTATCTATGGGAAAAACAAAACGATCATTGGTTGAGGCATTTTGGGGAACATACTGTGTATCAGGCCGGGCACACAATGAGGATGCTCTTCTAGGTTTAGTGTTGAGAGAAATGGACTTTGGTTCAAGAGGTAGAAGAAATAAATGGATCCGTCAGTTCCACTCCTAAGCTCTATTGAGCTTTAAACATATCTGAGAAGAGGTGGAGGCATCTAACTCAAGGATGGCCTCCTGGCATACCTCTCTCTCTCTTGTTAGGGGCTTAGAATCGGCTGCTCCCTTGGGCTTAGAAAGCTTTTGCCTGGATGTCAGCAGAGCTTGCTTGCAAACTTCCTTCACATTTTAGCTCGAGGAAAGTGGGGACTTTTCTGACCATTTATTTGAAATTGCAATACTTTCCTGGAGCATAATACCATCTCAGGAACAATCTAAAAGTGGAGGAGGCTTTTCTTACTTATTGGCCCAGAGGAGGACACCTTGTTTTGATCTGTGAAAGGGTGACTTATGATCTGCCTCTGACCCTAGGCCTTCCCCAGTTTATTTTTCTCTGTAGCACCTATTACCATTTGGCAAAGTATTTTACCATTTGTTTGCTTCCTCACAGCCCTTCTACTAGCATAAAACCTCCATAAAGGTAAGGATTTTTTCATATTTTCTTTGCGTGTCTGCAGTGCTTAGATAAAGCACAAGTGGGAGCTAATATAGACCCTAATGATTCACACTTCCTGGTATTTACATCTTTCTTTCATCCTTGCTCACACTGAATCAGGGCTAGTCAGTGTGACTGAATATGGTTAAAATAGATGAGGTTAGACATTGCAGCCTCCAACTTGTTCTCTTAGAATTTTCATTCTGGGAGAAGCCAGTTGCCATAGTGTGAGGATATTCAAGCAGCCCCAGAGACAGGACCACTTGAACAGAAACTGAATTGCCAGCACCAGCTTGTTAGCCAAGTGACTGGGCCACCTTGAAAGATCATCTGGCCCCCAGCCTTGAGCCTTTCAGCTGAGGTCTCAAACATCACCAAACAAAGGCAAGGCTTTCCCCCAGTGGTCTGATCTACAGAAATGGTGGAGAATAATAAATGATTATTGTTGCTTTAAGGTAATAATACATTTTGGGTTACTTTCAAATAACTAATAACTAAAAGAGTGTCTGGCCCATAGTAAGTTCCCAACATATATTAATTGAGTACAGAGTTTGACATGAGCAGATTTCATCCTAGATTCCTCGATCAAATATCTGTAATTAACATAAACAAAAGTGTATCAGAAGCCATTTGAACAATAAGAACATCAGTTTGGAGTCTCCAGATCTAGGCTTGAGTCTTAGGTCTGCTATGTATTTGCCATCTGATTTGTGTAATTCACTTGTAGTTTTTGGTTCGTAGTTTTGTTGATCTGTCAACTAGAAATAAGGATAAGAATTACAATTCTATAATGCCACTTGTCTGGCAGAGCCCTATTAATGTCGTAAATTTTTGGATTAGAGCTCTGCTGAAACCCATATTACAAGTGGAGTTTTCTGTTATGTAAACCAGCAAAACTTCTTTACTGTTTGAAGTCTGGTCCAGTTGCTGGTGTTACCTATAAACAAAAGCATCCTCAGATGAAGCATTCACGCTAATGTGTATAAAACAGTCGCCAAAAACCCCACCAAGATGACATGTAATGATCGGGAAGCTACATGGAAGACTTGAGTATAACAGTCAAGGAGAAAGGGGTGTCAGATCGCTCCATCACCCATTTCTGTGTGGTGAGAGCAAGGATATCCTAATTCATCTGCTGGGAAAGTCAGGGAGGCCCAAGGGGTTCTGTTTTCACAGAAATTCTGGTTTCCGAAGGTATATTTTAGGACCTCTGGCTTCTTATTTCTTCCTTGTGGCTGCATTTGATGAGTAATTGTGGGGGAGTAGCATCAAATTCGTGTTTAAATGCCATAATGAACCAAGGACCCATTTGTGTTCCAGAGAAGGTACCCCAAACAGATGGACTGCATTGTACGCAGACATCATGAAAGCAAGCAGCCGGGACAGTGGGCCTGCTGCCTCCCATAGGTCCCTAGAGTGTACACAAGGGTCTTATGGGCCACTTACCACAACATCATCGGCTTGTCAGAGAGCTCTTCATGTTGCTTCAAGAGCAAAAGATGCTGTCCTGGACCTGTCAGGAAACACTAATAAAAAACTCATCTTACTGGATGGAGAGTTTTCATTTTTAAGAGTGGAGGAGACAGGGATTTCTGACAGGCCTGACTAGACAGTGTGAAACCTGGCCACTGTGTCATCTGGCCTCCCGAGACCTAGAGAGGTGACTGGAAGCAGTGGTCTGGATAATGTAGGCAGGTCTCAAGTCTGTTACTCCCTATATATTAGCATGACTTTGATGGGCAAGTTAATTAAGCTGCTATTTGTTTGGTAACTACAAACAATCTCTTAAGTTTTATCCTCGACTGCTCGGTTAAATTGGTCAATAATTGGTTTTTAGCCAAATAATACAGATTATACCTCAATTTGGTATGTTTCTTCATTGAAATTTGCTTTGTTTTCTCAAATTATTCCACAAAGTTTAAATCTATTATTTATTTCTTCCTGTGTGGGACAAGAGTAAAATAGTTTTAGTGGGAAAAATTATAATACTCTCTTTAGGCTTAAATTGTATGTATTTATAAAAGTATCTTTTAGGGAGCGTTCTTTGAGTGCAAATGGGAAAACCGGCTAGACAAATTATAAAAGAGCTATAAGACTAACACTTTAAATGTAACTTTAAATATTAAAGCAATGCTTTTAAGTTTCATTCTTAAATTATCTTTTTGGTAGCCATTAGCCTATAGGGCTAAGTCATAAGTTTTATCAACCCAAGGAGAAAAGATATGGTGCCACTGATCACGTTTAAATCTCAGTGGTGACTTTCAGAAAGAATGGAGTTAGAAAATTAGGCATTTTTCAATGAGCATTTATAAAAATTGCTTTACCTTCTTATTTAGTATTTCAAGGACCACACCTGGAAAACTCAAATCCTGGGATTTCTATCACAAAGCAGAGATGACGGCCCTTCCCCCTATGGTGGGAGATCCATAGGCCTGTTATCTAGTGAGTAAAAGGAATAGTTAAAGAACAAGTATAAAGTCCATCTGGATCCTTCTATCCAGGAAGGCTGGAAGTCCTGATGGCTTATGAGAGGAGACAGAGGTTGGTCCATGGGTCAGATGTCATGTTCTCATCTCTCCTAATACACTTCTTCCAGAGTAGAATTTCAAGGGGGAAGAAAGCCAATATGCCTGAGGAAATCTCAGAATACCGGGTTGACCAGCATTGGAGAGAATGTAGATAAATGTAAGATAGCTTGGAAAACTCCACACCTCAGCTTAGGTCCAAGTCCACTCTGGTCCTAAAAAGATGACAAGAAGGGACAGGAGGAGGCTGTTGGTTCTTCAGGGTCCCTGTGTGATATATAAGGACCGCACAGTGGTGATGTGTCTCAGGACAGAACACGCAGTGTCTTAGTATACATTGAACTAACATCATCAAGTGGCTGCAGGGTTTGAGGACATCAAAACCGGAGGCAAATGACCAGGGTCATATACTCGTGTAGGAGGAGAGCCACAAATCTGAATTGAGCATGATCGGATCCAGTTACAGGAGCCACTCTGCCACTGGGCCATGGAGATCAGGGAGTATCTAGGGCACAATGTGTCCGTCTGAGAACCCCACCCCCCTCAGTTACCAGGGTAAGCTGCACTCCTACCCTGCCTGATACTCACCTGGTGCTTATGATCTGGCCAAGTTGATGATTTATGTCAAAAGTCTCCTTCAATAATACTGGTTGTAAAATACAACTCTTGTACATACTGTTCCTATAAATATCCGATATTCCCTGAAGTTATTTTAGAGAAAAAGTTAGAACTATCAAAGTAGAGAATTTTATTCTAAGAGACTGATAATTTACTTAAAAGACGCTATTGATTATTTGGATCTGTCTAAACATGTCAGATTGGCCAAAAATTGTTCACCCCTTTGTCACTAAGTTAGGCATAGGCACCTGTAACGAGGATAGGATCAATTAACTGAGTACAAACTATCTTATTTTTGTATGAAATTCAGTAAATTTGCAATGTTGTGTGACAACTTCGAGATGAAAAAGATCTAGTGATTTACATCACCACTCAAATCCATTAGCATGCTAAATTCTAAAAGGACAGAGATTGATTGAAGGACTTGTTCTCTGCTGTGTCTCCAGTACCCAGAGTAAGTATCTGGCACAGAGTAGCTTCTCTATAGGATTTGATGAAGGAATTATAACTACTTGTAAACAAATGCCCCCTAAGAATCTCAATACAATTTCAACAGAAGCAGTGTGTCACAGAAGACTTGGTTGAGGACCAAGCCCTTGGTTAAGGAAGTATTTTGACATATGTCTCTTTCTGTTGAAGTTATTTTTAAAAAATCTCATATAATTTAATATAAGAAATTAACAAAATTTTTAAACATTAAAAGTCTAAAAATTAAAATAAAATTCAAGCAAAACTAATCTATAGTATTAGAAGTCAAGATAATGATTCTCACCATAGTTTAGTGTTAGTTACACAGGTGTGATGGATCACTGTGGAAATTTGATAACCTCTCAGCTTGTTATTTTCTTGTATTATGTTACACATCAATAAAATAAGCTAAAAATTTGGTTGTCATTTGCATCCATGTTTACATATTTAGGTAAATTCTAAGAATCAAATAGTAGTATTGTTTTAAGTCCTTTAAAAGTCATGCCACCAATTATTCTGCAAGAAGTTTCCACCAGTTTTGACTCCCACAAATATTATATAAAAGGTGATTTATTTGTATTCTCATTAGTTCTTGCTATCATCATTCTTTCTAATTTTTAATGATTGTCAGGTAAAAATTTGAGGATATATTTTTCTCTCCAACTTTTTATTTTGAAAAATGTCAAACTTACAGAAAAGCTGAAAGGATAGTGTAATGCACACTGGGATTTCCTTCATTAGATTTCCCAGCGCTTATCTTTTTGTAGCATTTTCTTTCTGTTTCTGTTTATGCACACACACATACACACTCACACACATCTATTGATCTGTCTTTCTGATCTTTTTATTTTTTTAAGAATGTTTATTCTCTCTCTCTCTCTCTCTTTTTTTTTTTTTTTTTGCAGTTTTTGGCTGGAGCTGGGTTTGAACTGGCCACCTCTGGCATATGGGGCCAGTGCCCTATTCCTTTGAGCCACAGGTGCCGCCCTGATCTATTTTAAGAGAAGTTTTAGACATTGTACAATTTATCCCAAAATGTACTATTATTATTATTGTTTTTGCAGTTTTTGGCTGGGGCCAGGTTTGAACCCACCACCTTCGGTATATGGGGTCGGCGCCCTACTCCTTTGAGCCCCAGGCACCACCCAGATTATTCTAATTCTTAAATAATACATTATGGGGGCGGCGCCTGGGGCTCAAAGGAGTCTCTGGCCCCATATACGGGAGGTGGCAGGTTCAAAACTGGCCCCAGCCAAAAACTGCAAAAAAAAAAAATAAATAAATAAATAAATAAATAATGTAAAATAAAAATGAAATAAAACAAACAAAAGAATAAGAATATTCTTCTATACAACTACAGTATCATTTTCACACTTTAAAAATTAACAATTCTGTATTGTCTACTAACGTGTTATCCATATTTATAATTCCATAATTGTCCTAATACAGTCTTCTCTAATTGATTTTTTAAAAAAATATATAGGATTTAATAAAGTTTATTCACATATTACATTTAGCTATTTTGTCTCTTTTTACCTAAAACAATTGCCCCTACCCAGCCCCACTTTCTCATTACATTGAAATTTGTCAAGTCTAGGTTACTCCAGAACCTTCTTTTTGTTTTCAGATGTGTATGACAATGATTGCTTTTACAGGCTCATATTACGCAATTATTATAGGTTTTCAGAAGCACATGTATCAACAACTGTCACAAATTTTCATTTTTGGCAGTTGGTTAGTCAGAGCAAGACACTGGATCTCCAGCCAGGCACCAGATGTTTTTACTGAGGAAAAAAAAAGAGAGAGAGAGAGAGAGAGAGAGTGTTAAGAGCTTTTAAATCTTACATTATTACTTTGATCATATAGGAAGTAATTGTAACATTTCATGCCTGGAAATTCATCGTGAGACTTTCCTTCATATTGACACTAAATATTACTGAATGGATCAGTTAATATATTACATACTCCAGAAGGACCTGAAAATGCAGTGACAGCCAAGGAGGATATTTTGAAGTTTGAAATGATCCCTATATAAATAGAACGGATCAGCATAACTTTGGGATAAAATTAGCCGACAGTTTGTGGACTCTCCAGCGTGTGCCTGTTTGCTTGGTGCTGCTCTCCTGATAAATCACAGCAAAGCTTCCAGAGGGAGAGGAAGGATGGACGGCACCTCTGCCCCTATCACTAAATCTAGAGCTGCCAGGTTAATTAAGAGAAATTTCCTGGAGGCTCTAAAGTCAAATGACTTCGGAAAATTGAAGGCCATTTTAATCCAAAGGCAAATAGACGTGGACACAGTTTTCGAAGTTGAAGATGAGAATATGGCTTTGGCATCTTATAAACAAGGTAAAAAATATATAGATATAATTATAAAATTGATAGAAAATGATTTTTTTTAAAAAAATGCACAGTGCCAGTTGCTCACTGTTTCTTATTGCTTCTTTAAGTATTTATTTTAAAAATCTTTTTGATTTGATCTTTTCTTTCTTTTTAAACTGGAACACATCAGAGGCTGATATATTTATGTCTTGTCTTTCCTTTGCTTTTCTTTTTTCTACCACTGTGCCTAGAATTTAAAATCCTAGACACTTATATTTAGGAAAGCACTTTGTGTTCTTAACTTTTCTTCTGGTAATGATGGTATAGAATGAGAAAAATATTTCTAGATTATGGCTAGACAGCTCGTTGAGACCTAATCTAAACAAGGTGACTGCTTAGGGAGCAGCCTGCTAATTCTCCGTTAATAGCCGCTTAAATATGCATCATCTCCTGGATGAAAAAGATGATTCCCCTCTCATTTGGAGGGTTAATAGATGGATAAAGGCTTTCCACAGCACCTTGAGGGTCCTCATTCTTTTAGTGAGTTTTTAGTTCAGGCACAAAAGCTGAACTCAGAAAAACCAAAAAGTTCACTTTGTTTCCTGGGCTACAATAAAGTTCAGCTTTGCAGATGTGCTCAGCCCAGAATATCTGCTGTATAAAAAACTAAGGAAAACAAAAATGTAAGAAGTTTATCTTATCCGAGAATTTTCTGGAAGCCATGCTTAATGAATCAGAAATAAATTAGAAGTGCGCTGATTCTGATTTCTTAAATCAATTAGTTAATGTGGGAACTTAAGGATAAGTTAGGGTGTCTCATGGAGCAAACTGCAAGCACACGCCCTGATCACAATGGATATGTTTTGGCCCTGGTCAAACAATATAGATGCTAAGGTCTTATATACAGCATGTACAGAGAGATGGTAATTATTTTTCATGTTTAAAGATGTTTTCTGTTCACACGTAAATCATCAGCGTCCTCTATTTCGGGATATGATGCTCATGGTACAGTATAGATTTCCTTATGAATGTACTATCCACTGATTATCAATTCTGAAGGATCTAGAAGAGTTTAGGCCAGTTACTGTGTTTGTGATTTTTGCTTAAGGGCTTTATGATAAATTGGCATTGCTATTTTGGCTGAAAGGGAGGGTCTGATTTTTTTTAAGTTGATGGGGACACTGTTAGAAAAAAAGAATGTATGTTATAAAACCAGATCACTTTCATCTTATAACTTTGTTCAGTGAAAAATGTCTAAAGGCTAAATTCACTTTCAAGGTATTTTTAAAAGCTTTGATTTGTGCCTAGTATTAAGTCAATGGCTAAGTCATAGATCTTGGGAAGGTTCTGGGGGTATGGGAAAGGAGGCTTTAGGGGGAGGCTCTGGAAACAGGGTGTTGTTTTTCCTACTTCTGGTGGGGCCATCACCCTTGAATAAGAAAAAAATGCATTTTACATTCTTTCTGTCAACAGGAGCCAACGCCTACGGTCCTCACAGAGCTAACTTTTCATTCACACTTATAGGTGTTTTCATCATGTTAGTACCATGGGGTGTGGCTTTAGTTAGGGAGAGCAAATTACACCCTCTGGGAAAGAAATGGAGGCATATTCGTTCCTACACATGCCAGGTGGATGTAGACCCAGAAAAAACAGGATTGTGGTCATATCTTTAGGGTTGATGCAGGAAACCCTATGTGTGCATGTGCGTGTGTAGAAAGAACACCCCAACTCTGTTTAACAGGAATGTGGGCGCAAGAATCTGTCTCTGTAGTTTTAAACCCAGGGTAAAGTTTCATCTTTCCTCAAAGTTTCTTCACGTGTTTTTCACCAGCTTCTAGACTAATGATCAATTCTTTTACAATCTCAGGTAGGAATGGAAGTGATAAATAGAATCCTAGTTACTAACTGAGCAGGTAGAACTAAGTGGTTGTATCAATTTCTTCAGTCACAAAGTGATTCTCAGGGAACTGTGTTGAGCTGAGGGGTCTATACTGGTTAGCCAGTTAATTGCTATTTGAAGTGTTCTAAGGAATAAGACCCGTTTCTGTGTGGCCTTCAAGGGTATGTGGCTGAATTAAACTTTGTGAGACTTTATTAAATTAAAGTAGACCTTTTGGATATCGGCCACTGTTGAATATATTACTCTTTGATTTTTTTTAAAGCACATTTGAAAAGCTCTATATAGGAAAGTATATAAATCATAATGTGCAGCTTGATGAATTGTCACAAAATAAACTTATGCAGCCAGCATCCAGATGAGGAAAAAGAACGTTACTGTTTATTTTAAAAGTATGGGACTCTTCACGTTTCAGTTATTTTGGCTGCACAATTGTATCCAACCTATAACAAATATCACGCCACTTTAAAATGTCCTTGTGTAACTAATAACATAATTCTGTCTTTAGCATATGATTGGACTATGGAAAACTAACAGTAGCACAATCAATTCTAAACCATTTTTATTTCTTTGAGAACAAACAGTGTTTTTCACGGGATTCAAAAAGGGACCACATTGTATCCCTAAATTTAGTACCTCAAAGCCAATATGAAAGTCAGTGTATGATTTTTGGAAAGGTAACTCAGAATTTTACTGTCAAATAAATCAACGTAGGAGCTAGATGGAGCTTCCCTAATCTATAATCTAGTAGGTATACCGATGGTCAAAGGTTGAATTTATAAGTAAATATAAAAATGTGGATTTTGTAGGGAAGTAGAAGGCACCTATTCGGTTACAAGGAAATCTGAAAACTTCTTTCTGCTTTTTCCTGGAGCACTTGGCCCATCTCACTGAGCAGCTTCTCCTACCACTGTGAACAGAGAACTGATTTAGGATCCAGCTGCCAGATGCTGTTCCAGCTGTGGGCCCTATTTCCCACCAGCACCTAACAATGATTCTTAAAGTTAGAGAGTTCTCACTTCATTTACTCAAGTCATTTGAAGCTTCAGAATCAACTATTCAGATAAAATCATGTTTTATTAGCAATAAAAAAAGCAACTTCTCTCACCCTTGGTGAAGTGGACAGTGGGAATATGCTGGTTGTTATTTGAAAGACTTCCCCAGGAATGGCAGAGATAATGGGTCTTAAGAGCAAAAACAAGTGAGCAAAATTGTATTTATCTGGTTTAATTTACTTTACTTTAAAATAAGAACTACATGAAGAAAACATAAATACATGAAGTATTTGTGAACCGCCAAATGCGATAAGTCATCGAATAGTCATGGGATGTCAATGTTATAAAATTTGTTATGGGAGCATGATGAAGTATTTAAAGAGAGAGCAAACTCAAAAGAAATCTCTAAAGAAAACTCCAAGGCCCTTTGTATTGGTTCTCCTGGGTGACCTACATACTGGAAACATGAGGGAATGGCCAAAAAACTGTTTCCTAAGATTTTTCCAACTACACATTTTGATTCGCCTTCAGAAGTGTGAGCTTTGGGTCATTAATGATACAGGCAGAATATCCTACTTATCTCTTTGGTATGAAATTCCCTAGTCAGCAAGGTTAATCAGAGTCCTTTTATTAATCAGTGTAATGCACTTTAAGTACGTCGTTTGTGGCCCACAGCCGCTGGTTTCTTGGTTGTAGTCATATTTTTAATTAAAATAACCAATGAATGATTTCACTTGAAAACTTTCTGGCAGGTACTTTATCTACTTTACCAAGTAGCAACTGCTTTCCAAATATCTTGAAAGCTGTTCTTTTCACTCTCCTAATGAATAATCTCTTTATCACCTCATTTTCCTCTTTGCCAGAAATTCACTTACCTGCTTTCCTAGTCCATCCTGGGTTCTTCTCCCTTCCTGGATATTCAAACTTCTAAAATTTACATTTTAAGCTTTTTTTTTTTTTTTCTCCCTCCCAGGGGAACTTGGAGAGTTTTCCTGAAAATATTAGCTATTAAAAAATAGCCAAGAATTGTGCTTCAGACTGTAATCCTTCAGGACTGTGTAAATACGTGGACGTAAGCAGAGCAAATGTCTGTTAATCCAGCCACAAGCAGCGTGTGTAACCTTTGGCTGTAATAACAGAGGCTTCTCGCGGGTGGGGTTCTTTTGACTCTGATAACATTATAGTTGATAACTGTTGCAGAGCCCGGGCTTAGCTGAAGGGTTACCAGAGAGGTGTACATCCTCTCCAAATGCATCCAAAAGATGGCCAAAATACATTGTTCCTTACCATAGTGCCTGAGCCTCAGCTGCTCAGGCATATCTCTTTGGTTTCAGATTTCAACTGAACTTACAGACACACACACACACACACACACACACACCACAGGATTAGTCTGCACATTTCTGCAGGCGTAAAATTTCTAAAATTCCTTTAGAACTTTTGGCTACAAGTGATATTGGTTTGGAAGTAAACTAGATCACAGATTTAGTTTCAAGGTTTTCAGGAGACGAAGTTTAAGGGTTAGAGGTGGCCTCTGTCCCTATGAGTCATATGTACTCAGGAGCTTTATACTGCCTACTCTCTAACTGACTGATTATTTTCATTTGTAAAATGTTGACAAGACTCTAAGTCCCCTACATGCAGGTAATCAGTGATGTTGTGAAGGTGAAATTGTGTCAACATATTATATAGGGCCCCAGGCCCAAGAAAGGTGACGGCCGGGACTGTAAATGCACATGGGTGGGCACGGCCTGCGTTGGGGGCTCCTTGTGGGATCTGTGCACAGCAGGAGGCATCTGTGTTTTCTTCGTCTTGCCTCTCCTCCGCAGGGCCCCTTGCTGCTGCAGCGCTGTCTGCACCAGCCCCCGCTGCACACAGACTGCAGACCTGGGGGAGAGTGTGAGGGGTTTACATGAGAGGGAGACAGGGATTCTTCGCCCCCACCGAGTCCCCAGGGGCTTTGTTTCCCAGTTCCACACCGTGCCTGTTCTTTGTGCAGTCTGAGCACATAGGAGAAGGGCAGGCCTGCATCTGCAGAGGTGAACAGAGGGGGGCCTTTCGAAGACAATGGCTGAGAATAAATCACATTCCGGGGTTTTGAAGCCCTGGGAAAATTCGGCCGTAGGAAGAAGGGAGGGTACAGAAAATGAATCTGCCTGATCAGTTCACTGTGTTTCTGGCTTGCTGTGACCCGGGGTGCTTATATTCTGGAGGACACATTCTGATCCTTCACTTGTCAGCACCAATGCAAGGTTGTCAACAGGCGCAGCCTCATCTGGGGTTTCTGAAGACAGCTTTCTCTGGGCGTGGTCCTCCACGAGGGTGGGTGTACTCACTTCCACGCTTGCTACACAGTGGCTCATGGCTACAGCCTCATTTTAAGGTGGTGATTTTATATGGGTGGCTTCTTTGCTAGGGGCTGTGTTTTCCTCTATTGAGAGCAGCAGCTCTCCTGTTACTGCTGGGTGCTGAATTATCTAGACCCCCGACTTCTGCTACCAAAGTTCTGCAATGCAGCTTCCAGGTGAGCTTTAGCACACTCTGAGCCACAGCCTGCAATCAGTCCAAGTACCATTTCTCCATTTTAGCTTCCCAAGGGCAGCAGGCAAGGAGTCTCATCCCTACCTGCCCACACACATTGCCATGCAGGAGACGACAGCTGTAGGCACAATTCCATTCAGGGAGTATTCTGAATTCTAGGACCCGGTGGCCTGTGAGTCTGACTGGTTACTGGTTATGAACATGGGAGATGCAGATGAGATTGACCAAGAGGCCAAGGATAAATGAGTTATACAATAAACAGGCAACATCTATTTTCTAGGTGCTCCTGGGAATTTAGGATGAAGAAAAAAAAATCAACAAGCAAACGCGTTTCCGTACATATCAGAAATACGCCGTTCTATACTGAACTTAGGATCTTCTTCCCTTTCCTGTGATCTGTGAAGCAGTCTGGGAGCTAAACCTATTCTACTTCCACTAAGACAAAGACAGATAGAAACTCTGCATTGCGGATATTCTGATTTCCGGGCGTTTGGACTGAAGCAGGCAATGTATGGCTCTAGCAGGCTGAAAAAGTGGCAGTTTTCTCATCTGGAAAATGAAAGGCTTGGAAGGATAATCTTCCTTCCAGTGCTAACATTCTGAGTTTCTTTGATTTTACATCGAATGGTGTTTTCTTAATCAGCTCTCGGCTGCTTCCTTTCTGAGACCATTTTTCTTCCCATTGCAGAAGCAGGCCTGAGTGTCCAAGCAGTCGCCGCATAGAGCCAGCTGCCTGATCTTTGCCACTAATCGGCAGGCAAAACACACCCTGGCTGTCAGATCTGGAAACAGCTTCTTTCCAAGATAGTTAGAAGAGACTGTTTTTGCAAATTGCTTGTTGAGGAAATTTGAGTATTAAAATGACTGGTTAAGTATTAGTGTTAATGTGGCGGTGGTTCATTCTTTATCAAAAACAGGTTGCATAACATATGTATTTGCGTGGGACACAGATTCAATGTATAAATGCATCTATATATACACATGCATTTTTGTGCATATCTATCCCCCCCCCCCACACACACAGGCATGGGGCTGATATTCACTATCTGTGACACTACTTAGCTTTGCCAGGGAATGTCCATATAACCAAACACATCTCTTTGAAGTGCCTGGAATCCTAAGTTAGTTACGTTAGAAATTAATTATATTGGCTGAATACAGATTCCTATATAAATTCACATAATCCTGAGAGGAATCACACTTTAAACAATCCTTGGCCCATTAGACCCTAATGTGAAATAACTGGATTTCTTTTTAAAGTGTAGATTTAGATAAAGGGAAAGGTAGGAGGGAAAGAAAGCAAAATGGCCCTAGAATTTGGAATGGGATAAAAAGGGATTAAAGGGGGGTGTGCGTGTGTGGCAGGGTGGGCTGCAGAAAGACAAGCTCTGGGTTGAATTCATTCATTCCTGTGGGGATTAATCAGCCTTGAATATAACCCTGTAAATAACCACATTAAATTAAATTCTGTTTTTCCCCTTCTGGATAGAAGGACCATAGTTAATTTTAATTTTAGTTGTTTTTACAAAAAGTAACACACGCACAGGGTATGATATTTGAAGTTATAAAGAGAGCATTTAAGAGCAAGTTCATTTATGTTCTTGGCCCCCAGCCTCACAACTCTTGGGGCCCCCACTGTAACCAGTTTCTTTTTACAGGTGTTTGCAAATATAGTTGCACATATCATACTCCACATGCAGTTTAGCTCCCTTCTTCTCTCACTCGATGATATATCTTGAGATCTTTCCATTTCAGTCTATATAAAACTGCCCCATTCTTTTTACTGGGCACGTGGTATTTGATGATACGGATACACTGGAATTTATTTGAACAGTCTCCGTGGGTCACCCTTGAGGTTGTTGCCAGTGATTTGACCATTATGAACAATGGCATTGTGTAGTATGGACTCTTGTATGCAGACTGTTTTGCCAGGATTCCTAACTCCCAGGAGCACCTTGAACAGAGTACGACGCCAGTGTCCCTTAGAGAGTTGTGCAACAGACCTGTGGTCCATGAGGGTGTGTCACACTAAGTTACAGTCCTGATAAGGGAAATATTCAGGAATGACACATATTTAGCCTTTTTCACTTAAATGAAAGAATTTTAATAGCTGACTAGCAGGCCCATTTTTAAGTGATCATCATCTTCAGAGTGCCCTCTTGATCTTCTTCATTTCTCGGAAAGGGAGGTGCCCAGAAGTAATCACTGTATTCTAGATTTATTCTGACCTCATCTAATCAGCAAAGAATACAACTTTTATTTCTCTTATTCTGGTCACTGCACTTCTATTAATGTAGTTTAAGATTGTATTAGTTTTTGGCAGCTCTGTGCCAGTGTTGGCTGATTTTGAGATTAATGTCAACTGAAATCCTTAGCTTTTTTTTTCTCAGATAAATGCCCATTAAACCATATTGTGCTTACCTTGTATTTATAAGTAGAATTTTTATAACCTAAAAGCAAACTTTTGATGAATTCATGTTAAAATTTATTTTGTTATGTCAGCCCTAGAGTCTTTTCCAGGCTGTTGAGCTAGCCTTACATCTTCATTTTACCATCAGTATTTTTTCTTTCTATACCTGTTTTCCATTCCCCACTCATAGTGAGCTTAAATGCTATAGCTGTATGGGTTGACATTGAAAGAAAGTTTATAAAGTCATCATTGTTATAACTAGTCAAACGTGCCAATCATTGGAGACCTGTAGAAAAAGGATGAATGAGCTCAGTGTATGGAACTCAAAGGTCAGAGAGAGAGAGAAAGAGAGAGAGAACATTTCTATCAACTGATGGGAGAAATGTACCTAAGATCTCAGATCTGGGTACAGTTATCCTTCTCCAGACCAATAAAATCTGTGCATAGCTGTGGGCACAGTTAATTGTGCAACACATCTTGTTTATCCATTTATTTTGGCTACTAGGAAGTTCATAGGCAAATTTGTGATATAATTCTAGTGTACAGGACATGGTTTATATTTTCTGTTCCTGCATATCTTACTCTTGACTTCTTTTTATTTTCCTACTTTTTTCTTTTTTAAACGTGTGTATAAAAATTTGGAAGTACCTTGAATTCTTCTTTGGAAAGAGATATCATATAAACCCATAGGTAGGTGAATAAAATCTTGGTGTGACAAAGTTTAAAAGATTAAACATATTCACACCTTGGATTGGTAACAACAGCTATAGGAAAAAAGAAATGAAATGGAATAAAAATTATGAGCTTATAAATAATACTTTTGGAATCATTCAAGGCAAATTCTCACTGACTGGGAGTTAAAAAAAAATTCCCTAAGAGTCTCAGGCAATTCACCATGGAAAATAAAATACAGTCACATAATGAAGGTCAGAAACTCAAATTCCTTTAAGATTCAGATAGGTAAAGTAAATAAAGAAACAAAATATAATAATATGTAATAATAGAGGCAGTGAGAACTTGGGAAACTCTGTCACACTTAAGTATATTAAAATATACTATTAAATAAAACATTTGCAGACCCATCAGTTACGACTGAGTTATTTTCCCTTAATTTTATAAATGTGACCCAAATAAAATACTTTGTAAAAATCTTCTTTTTCAGGTCATTGGTTGCCTAGTTATAAATTAAAGTCTTCCTGGGCAACAGGCCTGCATCTCTCGGTCTGGTTTGGTCATGTGGAATGTCTCCTGGTGCTGCTAGACCACAATGCTACAATCAACTGTAGACCCAATGGGAAAACACCGCTTCACGTGGCTTGTGAAATGGCCAACCTGGATTGTGTTAAGATCCTCTGCGACCGCGGCGCAAAGCTCAATAGCTACTCTTTAAGTGGACACACAGCTTTGCACTTCTGTACGACTCCAAGCTCCATTCTCTGTGCCAAGCAGTTGGTTTGGAGAGGTAAGCCCTGTGGGGTGGCTGCCCTTGTGTCTGCTTGCATATCCATGGTTTCAAGACTTGGTGACCTCAGGCAATGTAATAGGCATCTATGCACATTCAGCCTAGTTCAGAGGCCCTAGAAATACATGTCAGTGTGTGTACACGCACACACACACAGACATGCACACACACATATTTATTTAGTTCTGTTAGTCCAGGCCATTCAGTAATGATCACATTGGAATCATCATCATCTCTTAGTTGCTGGAAGCTCATTAATTTATTCACCTAGTTAACAAATATTTATCTAGCTCTTATTATACATTAGGTAATGTGCTAAGTAAGTGAAAAAAAGAAAATAGTTTCTGCTTTCAAAGGGCTTGTATTCTGGTACAGGAGATAAATATTAATAAAATAAATTCATAAATATATAACTAGAAATTGGAAAAAAGTACTAAAAAGGAGAAAATAGGCATTATAAAAGAGAATGCCAGGAGCGAACTATTATAAAATGTGTTAAGACTTCTCTAAGGAAATGATTTATAGGCTAAGACTTTGAGGATGAGAAGGAGCTAGTCATTAAAAAATGGAACCAAGAGTAAAGGAAATAGCTTAAGCAAAGTTTTAGGAGGGAAAAAAATAAGGAAGAGGCCCAGTATGACTGCAGTGTCTTAGATGTAAGGGTACAAGGTAGGGTAGGAGAGCAGGAGGGGACAGGAGTGTCGCAAGATGATAATGGATGTGTTAAATCCTATGGGGAGTGCTGGGGTCTGAAGTATAGGGTTTGGATATGGAGCTACTGATAATTTTAAGTGAGACAGTGACATGGTTTTCTTTTCACTTAAAGCCAACACTCTGGAGGTGTACAGAGAATGTGTTGGAGGGAGGCAAGGAAGGAAGCAGGGAAGCCAGCAGGAAGGCTATTGTAAGACTCTAGGTGACACAAGATGGTGGCTTTCACTAAGGGGCAAGAATGGATAGGAAGATTAGAAGATATTTGCAAACGTATTTGGGAGGCAAACTCAATGGCATTTAGAGTTGGACCAGTATGGGTGGTGGGGACATGAAGGAAAAGGAAGTCCCAAGTGTCTTTGCCAGGGATCTGGTTTTAGAAAATGGGCAAATACGATGATGGCATTTTTTGAGATGGAGAAATTTGAGGAAGAAACATCCACATGAGAATGATGATTTAATCTTCTTTTAAAAAGCCAATTTATAGGAGTATTATTTTCATTCAGTAAAGTTCATAGTAAAATTTACTATTTTTGAAAAACAGTATTTTTGCAAAACTATCACCACAATTATTTTCAAAAGTTCCTGGAAGCCCTTTGTAGTTAATCCTCCCCCCACCCCCGACCCCGCAACACTGATCCGTTTTCTGTCCCTACAGTGTTTCCCCTTTCGGAATGTCATGTACATTAAATTATGCCTTTGGAGTCTGATTCCTCCCACTCCGCGTAATACAATACATGAAACAGAGTTTATCCATTCCCCAGTAGAGGGGCATTTGGATTTTTTTTTTTATTCCTAGTTTTTGTCAATTTTTTAAAGAAAAGCTGATATAAATGTTTGATATGGGATCTGAGGTGAATGTGTTTTCCTTTCTGTTGGGTAAATAGGAGTGTGGAAAGATGGGGAGTTTGATAAATTTATAAGTAACTGACATATTTTTTTTTCCAAAGTCATTTCATCATTTTGTATTTCTACCAGCAATGTATGAGAATTACAGTGGTTCCCCATCCTTGCTAGAACGTCATAATGTGTGATTAACAAAAGTTACTTTAGGGGTGGTGCCTGTGGCTCAGAAGGGTAGGACGCCTGCCCCATATGCTGGAGGTAGCAGGTTCAAACCCAGCCGTGGCCAAAAAACAAAAGTTACTTTAGCCATTCTTATATGCTCATGATGGTATCTTACCGTGGTTTTAATTTTAATTTCTCCAATGACTAATGTTGAAGATGTTTTTATGTATTGATTTTCCAGCTGTATATTCACTTTGCTGAAATGTCTGTTCATGCTTTTGTTCTTTTTTAAAAACTGAGTTGCTTATTTTCTTATTACTGATTTGAGAGAGTTCTTTATGTATACTGAATATTAGCCCCATATCAGATACACTTTTGCACGTATTTTTATTCATTCTTTAGCTCTTGTTTTCCTTTTTCTAATGGCATCCTTCCAAAAGTGAAAGTACTTAATTCAAATTGAAATTATCATTTTTTCCTCTTGTGCCATATGCCTTTTGTGTCCTATCTAAGAAATCTCTATCTCAGCTAAGAAATATTTTTTTCTGTTTGTTTCTAGAAAGTTTATAATTTTATGTTTTACTCTAGACCTAGGATTCACTTTAAGTTAATTTTTGAATATGGTATGAGGTGTGGGTAGAGGCTTATAATTTTTTCTACAGGAGTCCAGTTGTTTCAACACCCTTTGTTGAAAAGACTATTTTTTCACCATTAAATTGCCTTGGTATCTTGCCAAAACTCTACTGGCCACATATGTATGGGTTTATTTCTGGGCTCTAGCCTATTCCATTGATCTATATATCTATTTTTTTTTTTTTTGCTAATGGTCCATGACATTATTAATGTAGCTTTGTGTCAAGTCCTAAAATCAGGTAGAGTGAGTCTTCCTAGATCAGCTTTAAATATTGAAAGTTTCACATCTCTTTGAGACTTCAAAGTGATTAAGTAGAAGATGCACTTGGTATAAAAGTATGAATTTCAGAAGAGAGCTCTGAAATACAGCTTTAATTTCATAATTGTTGACCTATAGATTGTATTTGAGGCCAAGGAAACCAATGAAATCACTTGGATAAAGAATATCAATAAACAACACTGAACCTAGGCCCAAGACACAGTAAATTCTAACATTTAGAAGCTAGAAGATTCAGAAGGACCCAGTGAAGCAGTGTAAGATATACTGGCAAGTGAAACGGGAAAAACCTAACAGCATTTTGGCAACACAAGGACTTCTTAAAAAGTGCAGGTTCCAGAAACGGAGAGTGGCCAGCTATATTGATAGCTACAGAGGTTTAATCAAAACCATTCATTAGATTATGTAACAGAGTTATCACTTACAAAAATAGTTTTGGTGAAATGGTATAGAGGCCAGATTAGAATGGCAGAAGATGTGAATGGGTGGTTGGAAACTAGAAATGTTGAAACAGAAAAGTTAGACTGCAAAGTGAGCATAAGAATGACATGATTGATGGAAACAGTGCAGGGCAGGGGAGATCACAGGGGAACAGTATCTGTAGTCTGTAGATAAAAGACAATGCTTGTCGGCCAAAGGAGTGATGCATAGAAAGAAAAGAGCTAAAGATGCACGAGGCACGAGAACTGAAAGTTTACAGTCTCTGGGAAGTTGAGATGACATGACATCAGAGACTATGGGACACCTCCTCATTTTAAACAGGAAGCCAAAAGTAAAAGGTGGTCTTAATGATCTAATTCACCCACATGGAGAAAAACTCATTTCAATTCAAGTTGGGGAGAGGGAGAACAAGGGAGGGAGGAAAATACAGGGAGGGTTTGAGGTGCTCCCACTGAATGGGCACAATGGAGGGGTGTGTGGTGCACCTTTTGGATGCAGGACACGGCTACAGGAGGGACTCTACCTAACAAATTCAAATATTGTGACTTGGTTGTTTGTACCCTCACATTAACCTGAAATTTAAAAAAGGAAATAGGAATAAAAAATAAGATATAAGATTTTAAAAAAAGATGATCTTACATGCCAGAACATTCACAGATTTGGTGATGTTAAGATGAGGAAGTTCCTACCTGCTGGATTTTCTCCCTCACTATTGTGTGCGACAAAGTCATCAGCCAAACATGAGAAATGAGCAGAAAACATGGACATTTTGTTAAGAGTGGGAAAAAAACAGAAAGGTCATGGAGAAAGAATGGGAGAATGAGCTCACTGGAGGAATGTGGTAGGACTACTGAACTCGTAAAAGATGGCATGGGCTTCTCAACTTGCGGGAAGCCAGCTTATTCTTCTTGCCTCATCTGGGAGGAAGGGTTTAGCACGAGATGTAGGGATTGGGTTGTCATTAGTTGGACATTACTTGCTTTCTATGTGTGCCCATCCTTCCCCTTCATATTTATTCTTTCATTTATTTCTAGATTGAATTTGTATTTTTATCAACTTCTTACTGTAACTTAAATGTCTAAGCTTTTATCTGACAAATTCTAGAACATTTAGAAATTGTATATTTGTTTAAAATTATTAACTCTGTATTGTTGATAATTTAATTGTTTTAAATTTCTTTATCCTTACTTTTGATGGGGCGAGAACGTTTAACATCGACTCTCTGCAAATTTCCAGTCTACAACATGGTATTATTAACTAGGGTCATCCTGCTACACATTAAATCTCCAAAGTTAATCATCCTGCTAAACTGATACTTTGTTAACTTTTTATATGGCTGCCAGGAACTGAAGAAGGGACAGAGCTGACGACCTTTTCATTCCTCAGTGGAATCAACCTTTCTCAGTGGACACAGTCCCATCTCTTTCGTCTCTGTCAACAAAGGGAGACTACCTAGAGATAGGAAGGAATAGAGTTTGTGGACAGCTTGAGCAATGCTCCCTATCAGCCGGCACTAATGAATTAGACTCAGAACAATCAAAGAGAAAGAGTGGAAGTCCATGGTTCTTTATAGCCATAGCATCAAAGTCCGAGTTCACAAAGAAAAGAAAGATAAATTAGAGAAGGCAAAAATGCTCAACTTTGGTGTGACAAATATCATAAAATTAAAAGACAGTCTTAAAACTGGGGGAAAAAATGGAGACTGTCTGACAAAGGGCTAATATCCTTAATAAATGAAGAAATTTTGAAACAAGGAGATTGGTAACTAAATGAAAAAAAAAAAAGGAAAAAAGAAACAAGAAAAAAAGAGGAAAAAAAGAAAAAAGGTAAAAAAGAAAAAGAAGAAAAGGACAAGGAAAAACTAGGCCCCCAAATAACCATCTAAACAACAAATAAAGATGGGACGCGGTGATTGCCTTCACTGGTCCTC